CTCAGAGTAAAAAATAAAACGGTGTTGTTTGACAGGTACTTACATTTACACGTAAAACCAATCCATTTGAGGCTTGAGACAGGTCCTCTGCAATCATGACAATTATCCAAAGAGGAAATAACTGCACTGGTGAGTTCATGATGACACTGTGGATCAAAAATTGAACATAAACAAAATAAATATGTTATTTTAAGTGTGTTTGAGTGTGAAATGTGACCCAGATACTTTTAGGACATAATCCTTATGACAATGAAAAACAATAAGGTTGTCTGCTTCGACACCTTATTTTATAAAAAACACAAATTGTACTCTTCATTTTGAAAAACTCTTATTAGCATCTGACTAAGAGCAGTTGAAGTAGTATTGAAAGTATGTCCTGCCTAAATTGTGTATCTTAGGTCAAGGCGTCATCAACGCTAACAAGCTGACAGATATCCAACTTGTTTGCCATATATGTGACAAAGATTCCTCCCTTTACCAGTGTGTGAAAAAACAATGGTGATAGAGTATTATGAAGTACAACTTGCCATTTTGGTTTGTGGGGACAACGGAGGATCTCTCTCGGGCTCAGGGTTAGAAGCTACTTCCCGGGGAGCCTGAAATTGTAGCACAAACAAAAGACACTGTTGTCACCGTGGTAGTGGTTTGATCTGACGTGTGTGCTGCAAAGGTTTAACAGTTATGGAGGTGTGCACATGCTGGATGAAGGCAATGATCTAATGTCTAGTCATGTCAACAGGTTGTAAAATCCTCTGTCCTTACAAGGACTGCTGTCCCTACAAGACACCCTGTGACCAGACGGCCTTCATCTTTGTGTGTAGTATAACATTATACAGAAACCTTTCAATGTTGTCATTTTTAACTCCTGTTAAAATCCTCTGTCCTTACAAGGACTGCTGTCCCTACAAGACACCCTGTGACCAGACGGCCTTCATCTTTGTGTGTAGTATAACATTTAACCCGTTTCAATGTGACCCAAAGTATGGGGAAACGGAGCCCCCTTACCAAGACAATAGTCGTGGTAAAACAGCTTCAATCTATTCCAGTCAGCGACACGCAACAATGTATGGAAAAACAATACATAGAAACTTACCATCTTGTCCCCTGATGCATTTGTAGTTGTATGAAGTTCGGTCCCAGCCTCTCGTGTCCCACCACTTACTTCCTGTAAATAAGTGAAAGATAGGCACAACTTAAAGGGCGCATGTCATGGCCATTTCCACTGATCATAATTACATTGTTGAGGTATACTAAAATAGATTTATACTGTGCAATTTTCCAAACTCACATTGGTTTCGCATACAGCATCTCTGTCAAGCATGTGTATTCAGCAGTATTCACTCTCTCCACTAAACGACTCATTGGAGCTCTTGCCCCCCCCCTCCCTGTGAGCCTAGTGTGCTCCAATTGGTCAGCTCGGCCACTCTGTTCTGATTAGTCAACCACCAGAGAGGCTCCGCCCGCTTTTTTCGGGGAACATCAGTGTAATAATGGTGTCGGTACAGCTGATATTTTATACTAACTAACCGAACTGAACCTACAACTGTTGTTATAGAAGAGTGTGACGGCCCCAGGGCCTTTGTGCAGGTGTGTTGCAGGGCTTACGGTGGGGTGGAGCTGAAGAGGGTAATCAGCGCGATCACGGACACCTCCATAGCCGGTGCTATTAATCCCAGCGGCCCGGAGTCTCTCTCCAAAGCGGCTGCAGAAGGACGAACTCAGCGCTCCTCTCCCCTCGACCACCTATCTCTGCATTTCCCACATAAATGTGCCGTGGTTTTGTAAACTCGTGTATGTCTCCTTGCCTTTCCGTTGTGGCCTACGAGCCGGTCATAACAAAGAGTAAGTTATTTTTACCTGTAATAAACTACTACTGTTTGATGAGAAATCAAATCATGGTTTGCTATATATGAATGATATGTTATAGGGGCAAATAATTCAGGGAAGAAAGGATAGGCCTACTAAGTATTTCCATTAAACTTTATTTTTAGAAATGTACAAAATGAACATAAATATACATATATACACACGGTATATCATCCATTCCTCCTCGCATCTTGCCTGCGCACAGCCGGTGCGGTGCCTTTTAGCACGAGGCCTCAGTAGTAGTAGAAGTCCCGTCCCCGTCATGGATTGTCCGCCAGGATCTGGCTGGACGAAATCAAATGCAAATCACAAAATATTAGAGAAACTTAGTTGTTTTAGATTCGTTAGTAGTAGTTGTGGTAGGAGTGTAATGAACAGCTTGCCTGCTAATATGCTAACCTAGCTTTGTTTACCTTGGTAGCTAACACGATATGAACGTTAGCTTGGAGGAAAGGCAACTATAATGCAGTGTAATAAAACTACTATGAACAAAAGCTAGTGGTTCATATTAGGCTAGCAATAACGTGTTTATAATTGCAATCGTATACGGGTATTCTGCTACGTTCTGTCATACAATGTAACTTGCATGAATACATTGTTTTGCGCTAGCATACAGCTAGCCTCGTTAGCTATACATGCAGTATATGTACTGTCACAATGTACGGTAAATCACCCGGAGTATACTGTATGAGTATTCCGTGTGTGTGACTGCAGACATTCTCCTGCCATGACAAACATGTAAGGCCATCTGCTGACATTGTAGTTGATATATTTAAACGCTAGCAACGTAGCATCACAAAAATGTTTTTCCGACCAAACCTAGCTCTAGCTCCGTGTGTTAGATCGGTTGCATACACGCTACGCCAGCTATAATGTAATTACGTTTCGCGACTGACCGCACGGCAAATCACCCGGAGTATACTGTCAATAGGTATTTTGTGTGTGAATGCACATTCTCCTGCTATGAGATACATGTATGCAAGGCCATATGCTGATATTAGAGTTGATATTTGGAAACTCTAGCAACTTAGTTAGCACAGTTAGCACTGTGTCAATGGCTTAGCAGTCCAACACAGTTTACACATTTAAACAGTCTTGTTTGATAAATACACAAATAACAATGCAAACTTACAGGTTGTGTACCCGGATCTTTCCCTGCTCCAAACGGTCCAAACAAGCTGTGCATATCCGGCCTCAAACTGGGCAATGTTTTGGAAGCTTTCGTCTGTGAAATGCCGGTTCTTCGAACCTCTGGAGGAACACGCCGCTGCTGGTGTGGCCATAGCTCTTTGGGATTGGTCCATTTCGTTCCGGGTACCGCATGACATCAGGCCGTACCCGGAACTAAATGGAAGACTCAAATGGGCAGTGACCAGCGACGTGCAGTCAGTGGAGGCAGGGGAGGCAGAGCCTCACCTGTCATACTCCAATGTAACGGAAAAACAACTAAATACGAAATAGTAATAATAATAAAATGTCTCCACTGATCTGTGTTGTAAGTGTGATTTCTGTATGATTCTAATCGCTTTTTATAGTCAAAATCAGCAAATTTGCCGAACTCCGCTACGGGAGCGATGACAAGTGAGGCAGGCACGTGCTCTGCCTCTCGTAAGCCCACAGTAACTTGCTGGAGCACGGGCACTAATTTAGCGCGGGCACTTATTTTGTGAGCGCGCTCAAGCCAGTTACTGTGGGGTGAGGTGAGGCACAGATGAGATCTGCCTCACCTCAGAATGCGTCACCCCACAGAAACTGGCTGGAAAGCGGGCCCTAAGCGCATGCCTGTTCCCATCTCACTGTAGGTCACCAATGTAATGTATGTAGATCCCTTTATTACATTTATCCTCGCCATCCATACTCTCTAAATAACTTATTTCACGTATATATGATATTTAGGCTCGCTGGTCTCAACGGCAATGAAAATGCACCAGGGGAGGCAGCCATAACCTCTGCCGCACTGAAGGGGGCGCACGTGAGCCCACAGGTTATTGTTGCTACTGTAATTCTACGCAGAGACGGTAGACGTAACAACAAACTAGACTTTTGAAACTACAGGAAGATAAGGAGGACTTTTACAAAAAAGTAATAGAGATTGTTGTCCAGAAGGAGAGCATGGACTTCATCTTCAAGTCAAGGTAAGACCACATTTGTAATGAAAATGGGATCTTACTAAGAAAGAACAATCCAATATTTAGATTTTGGGTATCCTTTTGTTGAATGGTCTGTTTAAAATGAATCGAAGCATCAGACTAAAAAAGCTTTTGAAAATAACCAAATATTTCGATTAAGGTCAAAATATAATATTTGTAAATCTGACTCAGTGAGTCAGTGCCTCACCAGCCATGAACCTCACCGCACGTCACTGGCAGTGACGTATCTCCAACGAGGCGTTTTGGGGAGGTATTTTCTGTGTTAGAGTTTTACTCGCGACAGGGTGTACTTTGAGGGTTTTGACTCTGCACACCGTTTACATGCATAAAAACCTTCATAACACACAAGGGGACGGGTAATAACCGGAAAAGCATGACATGGGAGCTTTAAAAACATTATCGACTCATTTCCATTCATCTATCAATGGGACACAAATCTGAACATTAACACGACTTTATCCAATCCATTAGCCAGCAATGAAAATAAAAAGACATTATTAGCCCCTAAATAACATGTTAGGGCCTAAAAGCAATTTATCACAGAGCAATAATTGATAAAAAAAATCTACCAACACATTGACTGTTAGCATGCTATGTGTGCAGCAGCCATCATCATATCTCATCCCAGGAAGAAAGCTGATTAGCACAGTAGGACTGTAATTTTAACCATATTACAAGTTGGCATCCTCGTTTTGTTTCATGAATGCCATGGTAGCGCTGCTCCTCTGTTCCAAATACGACTACTAACTCTTACTCTGAGCATTTATCTTTTCATGGTGCAGTAAATAACAGTCGACAAACTATGGCTTAAATAATATAGAGACACATATGTTTCAGTTTCTGGAATGTGACTAATCTTTCACAGCATTAAGAAAAGTACAATACTGTCACAGGCCCAGTGTACATGTATTGTTTCCCTCTACAGCCCAACACAGAAAGTGATTGTGATATGAAGTACAATTTGCCATTTTGGTTCGTGGGGACAACGGAGGATCTCTCTCGGGCTCAGGGTTAGAAGCTACTTCCCGGGGAGCCTGAAATTGTAGCACAAACAAAAGACATTGTTGTCACCGTGGTAGTGGTTTGATCTGACGTGTGTGCTGCAAAGGTTTAACAGTTATGGAGGTGTGCACATGCTGGATGAAGGCAATGATCTAATGTCTAGTCATGTCAACAGGTTTTAAAATCCTCTGTCCTTACAAGGACTGCTGTCCCTACAGTAGGCCTACACATTTTTTGCTGAAATAAATTAAATCTGCTTAACTGAGCTGAGTGGTAGTACCATGAAGAACAATGCAACACTTTTTCCCTGTCAGTTAAGCAATGTCCTAAAGAGAACATAACCTCACCTTTAAGCGCCAGGGCCAAGCAGAATCCCCATAGTTGTAAGTTATCTCCTCCTCTGGGAATATTTCCGTTACAGCAAATAGGCACAAGTGTGGGGTTCCCTTGACAACGATTTTTTTCACTCTGCAGTTTGGATTCCTGTGATTATCATTTGCAAGACGTCCAAGTGTTCCATCCTCTTTTGAAGCATTAATACTGCAAGACAAATAGTCCAGATACAACATCATGTATCATGACAGAAAAGCACTGAATTCATACAAGAAGTCACTAGGAAACACATAAATCTGGTAATGGTCAATTATCCATTTGAGGTAATCAATAAGCAGCAAACTCACCAAAAGTGCATTCCAGACCAGATGAAATCGAATAAGATGTTATTTTTGACATCTAGATCTTCACTTGCACCCAATATTCCACGGTACTCCACCACAAAAGTTGACGGTGCAATATATTCCCGTGTAAAAACACCACGTCCTACAATAGCAAAGAAAATGCATTAACATTAAACATTTACCTATACCCAATTATTTGTAAATATTTGCCATGAGTGTGTTAGATGCCTAACACTGCTATCCACACATAAGCTTCATCCAAGTTAGCCTCTGACATGTAAAGTGCCTTGCAGGTAAATACGGAGTAAAATTGTTTGATCAGCACGCACTCCTTTCTCCAATAAAGCTCCACAGTGATATGCAAAAGGTGTTGGTTAACAGTACTTTGAAACGCTTAACATAGTGATGCCAACACTGCTAGGGTTGAGGGTAGCTGTGATTTGACTATATCCAGGGTTGAGTTCACGATTATTTACTGGTATGAAGTGACACATTATTTTATATTGAATTTCATTGTAAATAATCAGAGCACTGTTTTAATCAGCATGTTCCATCTAATGTTCAGATTAGATGTTGCAACATATTAGAAAATACTTGTAAAGCAATAGTACTTTTTGTTGCCATATGTATAAACATATACAAAATAAAATGTAAAATGTCAACACAAATGTTATATTTTAAAGTTAAAAGTACCATTATTGTGCACTGTCATAATTAAGAGGCTACATTGAGAGGATAGACAATGTTGTGCTATCATAAATTCTGTTGTACACTTTGGATTTCAATAAATGATCATATGCATGGTTAAAAAGGCTTCATGATATAATAATAAGGGCCGGGTAGTTTGCTAACCCTGCCAAAAAACCCTCGCACTGAGGAGAGGCTCTGTGAAACCTCCCCAAAAGTGTAGTCAAAGCATCTCTAAACACAGCGGGTGTCTGGCAGTTTAGGACACAATTGATTTGGTATACAGTGTTGTTTTTCAATGAGAGGAGCACACATTTTAAAGACATTTCCTGAAAACATACATTGTTGAAAATACGTGAGGCTGATGGCCTAAGAGCAATGGCTAAAAGGTCAGGGTTTCCTGTGTGCCCAGTTGGACCATATTGATGAAACAATGCTATACGGTCTTTGATACTACATACTGTATGAGATAAATAGCTTACCTTTAAACGTGTTGATGAACCTGGCCTCGAGGAAGGGTTTGTCTCTGCCCAGAATTATATGGTCTATTGCATCCTGTTCAGGAGTCTTTCTCCTGCTCCTTTGTGTCATCCTTGCTATTGCTAAAAAATAAAACAGAGAACAGGCTAAGTTTTATATACCAAAGCATGGTTAACAATAACATCTCTTGGGGTAAAAAGCATCTCCATTTAGAAAACACGCATTTTAAAAGGTTTTTCGCCTGCCGTCTGTCTGCAGACTTGTCAAAGCATTAATTCATGGTTTTTACTAACCGGTATCAGTATGTTGTTAATTCGGCATCATTTTGAAACGTGTATTACAATTAAATCACGGTCAAATATGTTCATTTTGTTGTAGTTGTAGCCCCCTTGCCAGCGATTCTCTCTCTACATCAGCCCGACTCAGCCTGGTTGTTGGCCCGGAAAGAACCTCGATTTTATGGGGCCAGAAAAACTGTGAAATAGTACCCACTAGCCGGAACTACGCCAAGTGGAAATGCAACCAAAAACGGGCCGCACGGCAAGCTTAAAGCGAGGTCCGCGCTGTAGTGGAAATGCCCATAAGTTAGACGTAGCTAAGCCAGACCTTAGAGTTAAGACCTCCTTTTTTACGCCCAGCTGGTGCACTCCACTTCTGTTGTGCTCTGACGGCAGTGCACCTACAGTCAACGGCTACGTCTGCATGAAACCTTCAGGTGCATAAAACTCTGCACATTTCATTTGCAAAACACGGTAGTCCCCTCCTCCATGCATGCGGCACTGAGGAGCCGCTCCGTTGAAACCGCATGACGGCTGCCCTCTGCACGGGTGTGAGGGCTACACAGTAACACAGCACACATCTGTCTTACCAGCATTTTTAAGACGATTATTTATTTAAAAAGTAACAGGCCAGTAGTATAACTAGTAATCAACACACATGAGTGGGCATAAATAGTCCGCCTTTTAATATCACATTGCATTTAATTCAGTTGTAAAGCAGAAGTCATTACCATGTGGTTGATGCTAAGCTAAACTGTGCTAACTGACAGCAGAGCTAAAGGTTAATGTAACGTTTCCAGTAAAATGCAGTGTCTTGGTAGGATTAACTTACTAACTAACTAACTAACTTCATCCTATTGCTTTTTTTAAACACACGAAACGCGATGGGGAGCATGCCTCGTGGCGATACACTGAGCCGGAAAAAGAACAGCTGAAGTTTTGATGCTAGGTTGTAGCTAGCCACCAAACAGTATGCCTCGTGGCGATACACTGAGCCGGACAAAGTCATAAACGAACAGCTGAAGCTTTGATGCTAGGTTGTAGCTAGCCACCAAACAGTATGCCTCGTGGCGATACACTGAGCCGGACAAAGTCATAAACGAACAGCTGAAGCTTTGATGCTAGGTTGTAGCTAGTCACCAAACAAACATTTAAATCCTTATAGTTTGTTTCAAATACATGATAAAAATATCACTTACCAGTTTTGGTTAAAAGCCACTTTGCCATCAGCAATGTCCTCAGCCATGTACTCCTGCTACTGTTTCTTGGTGAGTCAATGACCGAATACTGAAAGACCACTCCCTGATGAGAACCTGCCCGCATGATGACTTCTCGCCAATCCCTGATGAGAACCTGCCTGATTGAGTCTTTAGCCGCCCAATCAGTTAGCAGGTGTGTCCAGCCAATGAAAAGCGCTTATTTTGTGTAAAAAGAGAGGGAAATGTGTATGAAACTGCAATATCATGAATCGACTGTACGAGCGTTTTATACACAACGAGCACACACAAATATACACGAAAAATCAGGTGTAGGCGGTTTATTAGGACATACCGAGAAAAAGCGGGAGGGTTTTATTTACATGTTGATAAGTGCTTCTACACTGCGCGACTTGTGAGGACACCAGTTTTGTCTTCACAAGTCGAAATGTCCTTATAATGCTGGTGTGTATCCATGCGAATTGTCCTCATAATCCGGCCGCACCAACGCACACACACACACACACACACACACACACACACACACACTACTATTCAAAGTGGTCTTGAAAAGGTCTTAAAAAGTCTTACATTTGAGTTAGCGAAACCTGCAGGAACCCTGCATACAGTAAGTCCAGTGTTGTATTGCCTCTGGTGGTGCAGGTAACATATTGTTTGAAAGTGGGCAGAGTTTTTGAGAGAGATGCATGATTGAAGTCTCCAGAGATCAGGAGAAGAGCATTTGGGTGTTGTGTCTGCAGTCTGTTTACAGTAGAGCTGATGACGTCACATGCCTCTTCAGCGTTGGAAGAGGGGGGAATATATGCAGCTATCACGATAACATGTGTGAATTCCCGAGGTAAATAATGTGTCAGCCCCGCGATCTCGTCCATCTTGTTCGGGAGAGATCTAACATTCCCCATGATGATGGATGGAAGGACAGGTCTGTATCGTCTCCTCCTGGCTCGCAGCTTTTTCCTGGCACGGCGTCCCCGTCTCCTTCTCCTCAGCTCGTGGGGAACAACGGGTCTATCGCCGGTTAGCATCGCCATGCTACGGAAGGCTAACAGCTGATCCCGAGTGTAAACAATGGGACGTTCACTGCACGAGGAAACCCCGGACACAGTAGTGAACAGAAAAAAATCTAAAAACAGTGCGAAAAATATGGGCTTGACATCCATAGTATAAGTTAAACAAAAGTATATACAATAAAAAACTATACTCAGTGTGAGTAAGAGCTGCTGTAACAGGCTGCCACTCGCGCGGTGCCGGAACCGGAATAACCGGAAGTCATTCATGTTATCAGATGTGGTTATTCTCTCATCTGTCTATCACTTTAGCCAGATTGTCAAATAACTACTCCACTGTAGTTATTGAAGGCTGTAGCCCTTCCTAAAGATGTTGCTTCAGGCATACGGCAGAAAAGATCGTGGCGTGCCTTAAAATTATTGAACCAATCTAGACCTCAAATAATATAATTAATTCTATCAAGATACTGTATTGAGCTACATAAGACCAGTTAATCTTATTTAACCTAGTGAACCATGTGATCTTTTGCAGACCCTACCTGCTAAAGCCTTCTCTTTCCAGTTGTTTAAAACATTAAAAAACAAATCAGTTATGTAAAACTACATTGAAATACCAATTGATACTATAGAGACTTAACTTATCTTCAGTGCCTCATGGGGGGTTAAGTTGAACCACAGCCACTTTTTGAATAAAAACTGTCTAGTTTAGTCCTTCATGCTAATCTTTAGCTAAATGATTCACATGGTTTCACACCTTGCTAAATAACCAACATGTATGATACATATTTTCAGAACTGGATTAATTTGCTTTGACAGAACACTAATTATACCTGACATGTTGAAAATGTACTTTGACAAACTGAACATGGTTTATTGTGAGTAAAACACATTTACCTCTTTACCATGTGCTTCTCCATCAGGGCCAAATATAAATGATGGGTGCTTCCTGAATGTATGGTCCATATGACAACAAATGTGCACAGTTCCCTAGATAAAGGGGGTGGATGAACTTACCCACTGGCTCATTTTACCTCACTCTCCCCTAGTGGTGTTGGTAATAATGGTAATGCCCTCCAAACGTTCCACAATTCAGAAACCAGGGCATTGAACAGGTGAGAAGGTGTCTGTTACAGCTTTAAAGAAAGTCAGTGTGACTTTTGAAAAATGTATAACAATCTACTCAAAAATAAGAAGTGGAATTCATAAGCAGTGAAATAAATCTGCTTGATATGTGGAGTTATCTGACAATACAGCTCACTGACTCTATGACTCTTCTCTACTTCTGAACCAAACCAATAGCCATGATCCTTTAACTGTCCACAGTGTGACGACATCCCAAGTTATAAAGGCTTTCATTCAATTAAAGGGGACCTATCATGCAAAATGCACTTTTTGAT